CAAGATGGAGAGTCAAGACATGCAGAGAAAGTAATACACTCTGCTCTGTTACTTACAGGAACTTTTTGTCGAGGTCCATCCTTTAGATGTTTCAGAGCTATAGCAGGAATAAGACAAATAATAACATCTAAAATCCTGATGTGTTAATCAATAGAAAGCAGAAGTAAAAATTACATGAGTAGTTGATCAATAGAAAACAGAAGTCATTATTATGTGATTAGTTGTTCAATGGATTACCAAAGTCATTAATTTGTTCATACCTAGTTCATCAATAGATAACAGAATTAAATATTATGTGATTTGTTGATAATTAGATTACAGAAGACAATATAAGAATGAAATATTTATATCAGAGCTTTAAAAGTGACCTGGATTGGCAAAGCAGGGTCTACACAGATGGTAAGGGTTAAAACCCACTAGGCATTTACTTAACTTCATGGAAAATAATCACACAGTACCTGCTTGACACAATTCTAGGTGTAACTGCACTAATAAAGTTGGTATCAAAGTTTGGCCTTAGTTTACTACTATCATAGGATAATTTCCACAACCAAAGCTTGGCCTTAGTTTACTCCTTATCATAGGATAATTTCCACAACCAAAGCTTGGCCTTAGTTTACTCCTTATCATAGGATAATTTCCACAACCAAAGCTTGGCCTTAGTTTACTCCTTATCATAGGATAATTTCCACAACCAAAGCTTGGCCTTAGTTTACTCCTTATCATAGGATGAGAATGTTAACATGGAATAATCTCCAGAAAAATCTATTCAATTTAAATGTTAAAGGAATTATTTTTACAAGGTAGAAGTAGAAGAAAGAAGCTTTGGTAATGAAATAAAAAAAAAATTTTGAGGATACTGTAGACTGCTAGTTTAATATCAGGATCCCACACTAGTAGGGGAAACAAAAAAAGGGGCAGGCTACCCTGGGCTGGACGCTTAGAAAGAATGCCAAATGATAGAGGAGTGAAGAAGGTGCACCACTGAAATCCCAGAGGAAAACGGCTCAAAGGCAGACCTAGGCTAAGATGGATGGATGATGTGGAGAGGGATCTACAGCAGCTGGGTCTCCAAGCATGGAATAGAAAAGCATAAAGGGGTGAGGCAGGCCAAAGCCCTACATGGATGGGGTGGATCGAAGGAAGTGGTGAGGCAGGCCAAAGCCCTACATGGATGGGGTGGATCGAAGGAAGTGGTGAGGCAGGCCAAAGCCCTACATGGATGGGGTGGATCGAAGGAAGTGGTGAGGCAGGCCAAAGCCCTACATGGATGGTGAAGTGTGGAGGCAGGCTCTAGCCCTACATGGATGGGGTGGATCGAAGGAAGTGGTGAGGCAGGCCAAAGCCCTACATGGATGGGGTGGATCGAAGGAAGTGATGAGGCAGGCCAAAGTCCTACATGGATGGGGTGGATCGAAGGAAGTGATGAGGCAGGCCAAAGTCCTACATGGATGGGGTGGATCGAAGGAAATGGTGAGGCAGGCCAAAGCCCTACATGGATGGGGTGGATCGAAGGAAGTGGTGAGGCAGGCCAAAGCCCTACATGGATGGGGTGGATTGAAGGAAGTGGTGAGGCAGGCCAAAGTGGGTCAAAACTGAGATGCAAGATTCAACCACACACAAACAAAATAACAAATGGACAGACCAACCTAAAAAAAAGTCATACAAAATACATTGAGTTCATGGGGGCCCACACGTTTTCAGTCATATGACTGTAACTACTCTGAACTTTAGGGGGACATTTATTTTATACTTAAAGAACATTTTTGAAAAAGCGTGTTTTTAAAAAATCATTAGTTTATTTTGCTTTATTTCACATGCAGTCCTAATTATAGCTGATATTGTTTAGCCTAAAATGTCCTTTGCTTGACATAATGGATGTAATAAGCATTCAGAAAAAAAATTTACAAGATTTAAGTTGACCTTGTTAACCAATACGGGCCAGTGGGACCGGCTCGACGTTTCTTCTGTTATGGCCACGAGTCGATGGTAGTGCCAATGTTAGTATTGTAGTAAATCGAGTCAAATATTTATGTTATTCCTTTCCATTTTGCTTCAAGATTTTAATTTACTGACAGGATGTTTATATTTGAACCGCATGCTATCGGCATGAATTTTGATATAATTTCCAAGTTAGTTACAAAATTTTACTACTTGTTTACCATGGCAACAAGTGGCAGGGTTACTAAAGGCATATAAGTGATTGGAGGTGTAAATATTATTCAATTTCTGTGTTCTTTGGTGCATATTTCTTATTACTGGATATACTATTTGGAAACCACCAAATAAAAGGCTTTAAATGATTTTGAAATTACAAATTTATACTTATGTTGGCACATTTATATATTTTTTTATTGTTTTTCTGTTTTAAATACTAATTTAACAATTAATTATTTCCTAACAAAACTTAACTGCACAAATGTTTTACATTTATCTTATAGACAATTCAATTACCCACACAATGGTTTATTAATCATTAGAATAAGTTTATAATTAAGAAAACTGCAGCTTAATTTATACTTACACCTAAAATGAGAAAATGTGACCTAGATTTAATTCGGCCACAGCAGGTTTATTAATCAGTTAAGAATTAATTATAATCTTCTCATCAAAAAATTAGTCCTTACATCTTCCTAGCTGACTTGCTGTGCTGCCTAATCGCATAACAGGAGGAGGCAGAGGTTGAGCTGATGTAGTGGCTGCCTGGTCACCAATAGCTTCTATAGGAAACATCAATTCATCCGTTTGATTGTTTGCAGGGAGAACAGCAGAGCCTGGAACATAAGAACGAATAAGAAAATAATGGGACTAAATAATAATTTTTTTTCTCTTACATAACGAGCAAAAGCTGGATATTTAAATTATACAACTTTAGACCCATTACGCATAGACTATGAGATCACAAAAGTTTGACAAATACATCATAAAAAAAGATTTTCAAATAAATCAATCCAATAACACATTATATCAACAAGTCTACATACTGGGCCTTGAGGTATTGTATAGTCGTGACAGTAGCCTTGTTGTACTGACTGAGGCCGAGCACGGCTGACTGATGTCCTGTAGACCAAGGCAACACCCTGTCACAGCAATCTGGGGATTGGAACAAGATGAACATTTAGGTACATGAAACATAAACAGTCAGCAGCATTACAAATAAAGTACCCTTGCCTGGATCATTCCCTCCAGGAAATTACTAAGTGTAAATTGGGTTCATAATCTTTTCATAGTTTAAAATATTAGGTATACAATAGTGAATACTGCCAAGTAATCCCTGATGTGGCTTCAAGCAGTCATAATTCAGTTTTAGTTCCAACATTTGAGCCCCTGTCATAAATAAGTTTTGAAGCCTTTTCATCCAAGATGATTTTTAAAAATCCTGGCCTAACTTACGTGAACCTCATCCTCATCTGGCAAGTCAATGTTAAAGCAGACATCTGTGAGGCAGCAGGGCTTGAAGTGCCGAAGTTTAAAACACATGCGCTGTGTCGGAAGACAGTGAACAGATAGATGATATTTTGGAAAGAAAAAAATTTGGTAATGGAATCTTTTTTCAAATTTACTGTCAACTGTGCTTTAAGGTTACATCAAACATATCATTAAAATGCATTTCCCCCATATTTTTTCCCTTAGGCAATTAGATATAAATAAATTTATCTATTTAGCATTAAGATTTTCCACTTGATTCTCTTTGCAGTCATGATTTCACTTATAATAACTAGACCAATACCATCTGACTTAATGCTTGGCAAGAAAAAAATGGAACATCTAAAAAATAACAAAAAATGGAAAATTGAGTTAAATTAAACCAACAATAAAAACTTTTTTTTGGTATAAATCCTTTATAAATGTAATATCAAGCAATGATGGGTGGGGCTGAAAATTTAACGAAACGTGCATACCTGTAATGCACTTTATAAGAATCCCAATTAGTGCTCTCTCCCCCCGCACCTCTCAACCATGCTCAAAATCGTACATTTTTGTCACACTCCTGAACTATATTAATATTCTAATGACCCACACACTTTTACAACGCAGATTTATTCAGAAAAATAAAAGAAAATATTACGCACCAAACGCACTTGCGATATTTCAACAAAAAAAATCTCATTTAGCGCAATTATCAGGAATTTTATTTCATGTAATCAGTGTAATCATATTTCCTTTATCTTCCCATTGAAAAACAGGAAAAGATGATTTTTGGGGTGGGGTTGAAAATTTGAAAGAATATTTTAACATCAGCAATGATTCTATGTGTCAATTTTCATCTTGACAGGTTGGCGGGAAGTGGGTCAATTAGCCATCAGAAGGTTTTGCTCTAAACATACAAAAGCAAAGTTAATATAAAGGATTTAAAATAGTTTTCACACTTTGCATGGTAAGAGCATACCTCACTTTTTATATATTTTTTATTTTGAGCATCTGGCAATGTGATGAAAACTTTGCAGTAAATTCACATTTAAAACAAAAGTACTTGATTGCCCTTTAGAAGCACTTCTTCGACTAGGTGTGAAATGAGGTTTAATTTGATCCTCATAAGAATTAGTGTAATGCACTGGTCTCAAACTTTTTTTCAAATGGGGAGGGGGAACGAACCCTAAACAAAATTATTTATCATTGCGGCACCCAAGTGAAAACCGCCAGTGCAGTCAAAACTTAAAAACTGGGGTCATTCATCGGTCTGGCTTATTTCCCTAGCTTAAGGTGCCAAAGAAAAGATAATAATTTCTGCTTGACAGTGTTTAATTTGTATCTTTTATTTTTATCCTGTTAAGTTTTTAAAGTTAGATGACAATTTAAAAAAAAATATTACATGACAAGTTCAGTAGTGACTGGATTCTAGCAAGAAAATTACTCAAGTTTGTGTCGATTTCAAGCCTCAACCCCTCTGCAAAATGGAATGTGCCAGACAACAGAAGGTGTAGATTTTTGAGGACACAACGGTCTCATACTTCTCAAAGAGAATTCTTATCCATATTTTTAATGGACTTACCCTTAGAATATTGTTGAAAATATCAGAGAACTCTAAATTATTATTGACCGTAGGTTGATATCTCACAAGAACATTTTGTGTAAACATCTGAAATCAAAGAAACTATCCTATTATTATAATTGAAAGAATTTTGACATTTTTAGTAAAAATGTATATTTATTTCATTAATTCGTATCATATCATTCTGGACATTTCTTCACAGATCACACTGTATATGGACATGGTATTTAAGGGCTCTTTTAAATAAAAAAATTTAGGGGTTCATATTATATTTGGATCACATTATGCATGATAGTATGCCTCGATCTGGGGGCTGAACAGGATAATAGAGGTATAGAAGTGCAGCAAAATTTACAATCAGTAGAGAAGTGGTCCTTAAAAAACTGGAGCCGCAGCATTTATGTAATCTACTCAACAAAACACATCAACAATGTGAATGGTCATTGCAATATTGGCATCACTGATTAAATGAGACGGAGTGGAAATAATGGGACCGGAATATCTTCAAAAACTGATTTCTAACATGTATCCCTACAGAACCTGCGCTCTTCAACACAGTCCTTACTGAGAGTTGCCAGTGTGGATGGACACAGAAAGAAGTCATACGGAGTGTGCTCTTTTGAAGCTAGAGCTCCTAAATTATGGAACAGTTTGCCTCAATCATTGGGGGAAATTTAAATTAATATAATATAATCTTTTTTCTTTAAATGGATTTTAGAACATCAGAGCACTGTGAGCATGCTAAAGTAGCATGGACACAAGCGCTATAAAAGTTTTCAATCATTATCATCATAAAAGTATTCCATCATCATGTGTAGCGAATACAATTTTATTGGGAGAAAAAAAATTATGAAAAATGGGATTTTTATAAAATAAGTTATATATATTTCAAATTCTATTTTCTCCCTTAGCGAGTGTAGTCTTCTTACCTGTAAATTACCACTGACACGTTCAGCTGGTATGCCGGTAGGAATGAGGGTGTTGCAGATGTCAAAACCTTCAGGAGGAATGACATCGTGAAGGATCATGGCCACCGCTTCATCTTTGAGATCATCAATCTGCAGAGGTAGAAGACAACACGGGTACATTGATGTGTTACAAACATGAGAAATTTGGTACATTCATGTGGTACAAACATAAGCCACTGTACACAACACTTGTACATTGATGTGTTATAAACATGATACAGGGTACACATGAGACACTGGACACAATACTGGTACATTGATGTTTACAAACATGACACACTGTACACAACTCTAGTACATTGATGTTTTACAAGCATGACACACTGTACATGACACAGGTACACTGATGTGTTATAAACATGAGACACTGGTACATTGATGTGTTACAAACACGAGACACTGGTACATTGATGTGCTAGAGACACAAGACACTATTACATTCATCTGTTACAAACATGAGACACTGGTACACAGATGTGCTACAAACACGAGACACTATTACATTCATCTGTTACAAACATAAGACACTGCTCAATACTGTTGCATCAATGAGTTACTTTCATGAGATGCTATACACAACACTGGCAAATCCATGTTACACTCACATTAAATTTAGTTGTGACATGTTGATAGTGAGGTGGAAGTGATGTTGGGAAAGAAGACATTGTGGTGTCATGGGGTGAAACCATCACACCAAAGTTAAAAATTAATTCTGGTTTTGCACTCAGAAATAATATTATTCATGACAAAGCGTTTTTATATTTCCCCTAAAAACAATTGTGACTGTGACTACACTGATTTAGTTTTGGCCCTCATTTGTGTTGATCTGTTGGTCTCACCACTCAAGATTGATTCAGTTTAGGTAATAAGTAATTGTTAAAATATTGAATACACCACATGACCTCCCTGCTTCTCAATATCTTTTTAAAAAATCACATGACTTATTTCATAGTCTTGTCTTGAAACAATAAATTAACAAAACATTTTCATCTGCATCAGCCTTTTTTTTTTTTAGGTGGTTTCTTTTGACTTGGGTTTTCACTGATTTATTGTGTTAAAATTTAATAATTTTAAGGAGCAATCATTAATTCAATGGTATATACGATTTTTTTAAAATCAAATTTGTTGATTGAATTAATGATTGCTCAATCAACAATTCTCAGCTCATTGTGTCTTTAATTCTAGCAATATAAAAGAATTAGCATTGAAAAGACTTTTGGTTTATACAATGTACTGGAACCTTCAATTTGCCTAATGTGCCTCAAGGGTAAAACTTAAAAAAAAAACAACAACAGCACCTACCACCAGAACAAATGTGTTTTTATCCTTGGTTGCCTCTAAGAAAAAATTCCCATTGTCTTCTTGGTCTTCCTTTTCTTCATCTGGGTTGGTGCTGTGAGGGCTGTGTTCATTTTGACGATCCTTGAGATGAGAGGGGAAAAAAAGCAAGAACATGATTAGTTTTTGTTGTAGTCATAGGATGAGATGAAATTCTTTTATATTGATCCACATAACTGGAAGTGTTTTTTTTTTTACACTGTACATTTAACAATTATAAGAATTTAGACACAAGACATCTGAATTATTTCTCTGGCATAGTAATCAGCCATCAATGAACTCCTTTAGTTACAACAATGACTAAATTAGAATCCATCTACTTTGTATTGCATAGTTAAAGACTTTAAAAATAGGTACCCCGAGACAAGCCTTTATCTCAGGGCAATACCACTATTGTGAAAAATGTTAAGGGTGCTTCTATTGCCATAGTGTATTTTTAAGTGGGCACAAATCAACTTTGGGTTGTAAATCCTTACATTTTATGAGCCTCTTGTTTAGAATAAATACACATAATTTTTAACTCAGTTTGGGAACCACTAGTTTGGTCTATTTAATATTCCATTCAAAGCACTTTCTCAGCCTGTACAGTTGGCAAGGCTTTGTTTCTACTGGTCGAAGAATACACTCACAGACTTAATTACCCTAGAACTCCCAATAAGGTTCAATATTGTCTCAGAATACACTTTATAATCTCAAAATAGAACAATTCAGTAGCGTAATAGTAAATAAATATACATACATTATATTTTATACAATAACTATTCGCATATCATGTCTAGAAAAAGGTTTTTCCAAAAGTAGGCGATTGATGTTTACATATTTACATACAGTGCTTATTTGAAAATAAAAATGTACCCTTAATTGCCTTTCCCCTCTCAGTGCGTACGTTAAATAATTATCGATGGTCTCCAACCCATCATAATTTTCGGGCCATTCACCACCAGATGTAAAGAGGAGCTAAAACTAAGAACCGAAAGTTTATATATATTTTTTTAATCGTAAAAACTACAAAAATACATCTTTTCAAATCAGTCTCTTAAACGCACAATGTACCCCGAAATTGCAAGAGTAACCAGTGCTACACACATCATGAAATACAGAGAGACACAGAAAATGTAGGTAAAAACAAGAAGCATGGATGATAAACTCACCACTATCTCACTGCTGAGTCTGTCTCTGTGCATGTGGACTGTCCGGTTGATTCTTGTCTGTAACTTCATGAGGTCTTGACTTTCTTGAGCAGTGGCAACCTAAGTGTTTTGAACAAAGTTTTTTAAAATCTGACAATATTCTAGAAACATGGCTACCCTACTTTATGTTGGAAAAATGTTTAAAAAAAATAAAAAAATAAATTAATTCTTAATCATAGGAAAGGATAGGAATTATTTCCCTTTTGTTGTGTATCTGTAAAACCTTGCAAGAAGAAATACGTCAAACTGAATTAACATACAGAGGATATGTAGTCATAGTCATAGAATGAGAGTATAAATGACGTGCAAGCATTACAGTGATTTATTAAGAAAGTGTGAGCCGACATTGGCAGGGTTAAAGATGATGCGATTGATGGGGCTGCCAGGACTGGCTATTTTTTGGTGTTATGGAAAAATTGTATGTCTTGATGTTGTTTGTTGACTCCTGCTCTTACAGTTAAATGTGGGGGATGGGGGGAGGGGGGGACCAAAAATCTGTATTAGTAAAAGATGGGGTGGATTGACTGACCTCTGTGGAAATTTTTGGCTGAGGAGGAGCAGGCAGTGGCCCAAGGTAAGCACCTGTTGCCGTCTGATACACAGGAGAGTGATTATAATGGGTGAGATTAAATTTGACATAGATTATAAAGATCAGTACATATTCATTAAGTTTATGTACATCTTTTCAAAGACATCATTTGATATATAAATATAATACATATGAAATAATTTTATCAATTGCATTTAAAATTGAAAAAAGATGGTGGAATTTTTTATTTTAAAACAGATTTACAAAAAAAAAGAAAAAAGTAATTTAAAAAATACCATTTGTATTTCAGTATTTTCAGTGAAATCATAGTATTCCAAAACTATAATAATGTATGCTCTAAATATATATTTTAATATTAAAAGATAACAAACATACAAAATGACAGAGAACTACTTACTGCCACTGCCACAAGCATATTTTCTCCTAAGCAGATTTGTATTCTCAGTCCAAACAAGCAGTTGAGTCCTCTAATCTGAGGAAAATTCATTGAAAATATTTTACTGACTTGTGTAAACTAAATGAAAGATCAATGATCCCATCAGTATAAAAAAGACATTTACCCACAGGCACGAACTTCTGCATTCAGTAGACACACAATATCCAAAGAAATTGACAGTCTGGAGTGTAAAGGAGATTATTGTCAAAGCAGAAAGAAGATTATTTTTGGGAGAGATTGTAACCAGGTGAAGAAAAGTGATTATTAGGAGGTGCAGAAAGAAAATAATTATCAGGGGAGATAAGGAGATTTTAAGTTTACTTACCTTGAGTTTGTTGATTAGCTGGTTATGAACTTCGTATTCTAAGAAAGGTAAACTCTGAAATAAAATCATGAAACTTTTAAGACTATCAAAATTTTATTTTAAAGAAAATACATAGAAAAAAATATAACTCAATTAGATAATATTGGCTTCATGAATTCAAATGTCAAAATTGAAATGAGGTTTAAAAATATGTCTAAAATTCTAAAATATACAGATTAATGAGGTCACTGCAAATAATAAACTTTATACACATCAAAAATGTAATAATAAACCTTAGACACTAGAGAAATCTAATTTAAAGACAACAGAAATGTATTTTAGTCCATAAATATAAAAAGGAAACGCTGGTTACAAAAGTTTTTTGATTTTTCCCCACTTCCTTACTTTTCATCTACGTGTTTGTAGGGGACTTGTGCATGCCCTACAATTTATGTTTCTATTCCTTTACTCTCTATTCAGCACATTCTTCTTTATCCCATAGATTCCTCTTTATTCTGTACATCCCTCTTTATTACTTTATGTGAAATTTTAATGCATGCTGTTTGTGTTTTTTTACTTGTACTTTGGCTATTTCCATAAGTAAAGCTTAACTATATTTGTTAGCAGCTAAGATGGTTTACTTATTTCATATAATAAATTAATTAAAATTTTGACAGCTGCGCTCACATCACTAATCTCACGTGCAGATTGTTCAGAGCTCTTGTTCTTGTTTTTGGCTCGGCAAAGTCTGTCAGAAAATGTAAACTTAAAAATATTACTTTTTATTCTGCAAACAAATTTATGACCCACACGATGCATCAGCACAAACCAAAAAAAAAAGGTTGAATATTTGTAAATGTATTATTAATCCCACTCCAAATACTGCTATGTATCTATAGCTTTTAATATAATTTCTCAACAAAAAAAAAAAATGTTCTGCTGAGTTTAAAAAATACAATAATCTGATATATTTTGATTACAAAGACAGTTCAATAAAATAACCTGATATATGTTGATTTTTATTCTGCAAACAAATTTATGACCCACACGATGCATCAGCACAAACCAAAAAAAAAGGTTGAATATTTGTAAATGTATTATTAATCCCACTCCAAATACTGCTATGTATCTATAGCTTTTAATATAATTTCTCAACAAAAAAAAAAAAATGTTCTGCTGAGTTTAAAAAATACAATAATCTGATATATTTTGATTACAAAGACAGTTCAATAAAATAACCTGATATATGTTGATCACAAAGAAAGTTTTGAAAAAAAATGATTAGAATTAGATCTCCATTTGCTTGGACCTCATATGTCAATGAACAATTTTTAAAAATATAATAATCTTTAATATAATGTTTCTTCGGGGTAAACAAATAAATTGAGATTAAATGAAATTTAGAATTTTGTATTTCTCACCTTGCCTGTACCAGACAACCTTTACTCCATATGGGTATGTCCACTGGAGGATCTATTGTTGTAAATAAAACTTCTGGGACATTTTTTTTCCTGGAAGAGCAATGCTTTTCATCAGCTCAATATAATTTTCAAAAGCTTTAAAATAATTATTTAGCGTTTAGTATGACAATAACTGAAAGATACAAAAATCCCTTTATGTTAATTTTAATGGAGATGTGTAAAGCATATTTTCATTTAGAGCTAAATGCTTTACTTTCCATTTAGTTTGCAAATTTCACCTCGGGCTATTTTTAAATTAAATATTACCGTGAATATATAAAAAAAGACTCTTAGCCAAACGGTTCAATGATCGATGCAGTGATTGAACAGTTACTTATAAACAGATGTATAAATACTCTACTTGCAAATGGCACATTTTGATAACTGTATCTCGAACGGAAGACTTGCTGGATTGTATGGGATGTGACACATAGAACATTTCGGCTGTGGCTCCTCTTGGCTGTGGAATCAAAAGTCTGAGTTAGAGTAAGTCTTAAACTAGTTGATTAATATCACAATCATATAATAAATTAAATTAGATTAAGGCCTCGAGTAAGTATTACAATCATAAAAAATGCCTCCTATTGTCAGAGGCTTATCTGGGGGAAAAGGGGGGGGGGGGCAGAAGGGTCTGCAACTCTCCCCAGGGCACCAGAATAGTGGGAGGGGTCAAAATGGGATTTGATGGTATTTTATTAATGAAAATAATTGGTTTTAGCCTTAAGGGTACAATCATAAAAAATGCCTCCTATTGTCAGAGGCTTATCTGGGGGAAAAGGGGGGGGGGGCAGAAGGGTCTGCAACTCTCCCCAGGGCACCAGAATAGTGGGAGGTGTCAAAATGGGATTTGATGGTATTTTATTAATGAAAATAATTGGTTTTAGCCTTAAGGGGGTGGGGTCCATAAAAAAATTAATCTTGTCCTGTATGCCATGCTCTCACGCTGTGCCTCTGCCTATTATTTGAGTAACTTGAATTTTTTAAAACTGAATTGTAGCTCTCCAAGATGAAGAAGGTAGTTAGAAATGACTTCAAAAAGTGGGGGGAAAAAACACCATAAGAAATAGATATTGTCAATGCCCAGTGGACTAAAAGCTTTTAAAAATGGATTTGAGTATAAAATGATATTCAAAGCAAGATAAAACTGTCCCTTAATCCAATAACACCGACTACCTTTCCCAACAGGCTTTCATCTGTGCTTGATTGGCAAGTCCTATATCCACATAGAGATGTTTATCTTTGTCTCGTTCAAGTCCGGTGCCAGCTGGCTTATCAGATGTAGTGGATTGGGGAGCTAAAGGCGGAGCCAGGCTTGAGGGTGGGTTCACAGGGTGTCGGAGGTCAAAGTTGAGATTAATCTTAGCAGCTGTTCCCATGGCAGACAAGATGATGACTTCATCGCTGCAAGGTAATGCACTGAACACTTTATCATTACTTTCTACAACGAACTGATTGCAGTAACACATTATTGTAACAGGTAACAACATTCTGAAACAGTATTTAATCAGACATAACCCAAGATAATGTGAAATATTAACCATTAGGTTAAAATGATGGCTCCTTATGAAATACTTATGCATATAATATATTTTGCTTAATAACTCCACTCATTTATTTAATATGAAGCTCAGAGAATTAATTATATAGAGGACTTGTGGATGCCGAAAATGGCCAGTTGTAAAATAAAGATTTCCTGGATGAATTAATCAAGAAGTTTTCTTGCTGTTGCTGAAACATTTGCTAGATTTCACAACATTAAAATAAACCAACAGCTTTATCTCCATTGGTAGTTAACTATAAAGTATGAAATCATTGATATATTTGAAAAATGTTGACTTCCATGAAATATTTGTTGTTAAATGCCCTATCTGAAGAAATTCTGTTGAAGTAGACACAAGATTGTTTCACATCCTGAAGTTGAAGAGGGTTTATTAAAGTGGACACAAGCATATGTCACATAATAAAGTTGAAGAAAGTCTGTTAAAGTAAACATAAGATTGTGTCACATCCTAAAGTTGAAGAAAGTCTGTTAAAATAGAGTGCAGCCCTATGATGTTATGCCTGATCTGATAAATCCCTGTTCCTACTGTTTAATTTATAATACTGTAAAATTTAATTCATGGCAAATTTTAGAATGTGTTTTAAAAAAAAAATTAGCTGTAGAAAATGAATCAGAGTGTTTTTTTGGTGTTCTTTTTACATTGCAGAGTTTAAATAGGACATATAAAGCAATCCTTTCTCAGAAGATGGAGAGTTACACTGAACTTAGGTACCAGATGGTTGTCTGTTCTTGGTATCCCAACACTGCATGACATCCCAATTTAGCAGCATGAGCCTTGATTTCTATTCTAACTTCACTCCACCAGGCATCTCTGGTTTCAGCCTCTTCTGTACATATAAATAAATGATGACACAATTTAAATTAAAACAACTGCAGGGGAAATTGACTAGTTAGCCAAGTAAGTACTGCTACTTTGGGGAAATACCTGGAGGGCTGCGGAGAGGGTAAAAAAGATTTAAAAAAGAAGCCTCACATTCCAGAGGGCAGCAGACTCTGCCTGGAGTTATAATTTTGATGCTCATCTTAAAATATCTGTGGATTTACCAGTTACGTTGCCGTGTCATATAAATCCAGAACATTAAATAATATGACATAATGTTTTTATTATCATTAAATATATGAGCACTGCAAATGTCCTGCAAGATTGCCCAAGTTTGAACACCTAATGATACAAATTCTTGCCTCAGCTAAGACCCCTGCCCAAGAAACTCTACGGTAACATTGGGAGCCTCCTAGGGGGCTGCTGGAATAAATGTCTGAATTTTGGGCAACTGGGGAGCCTCCTTGGAGCTGCTGGAGTAGCCTCATATAAACACATACCCATGTTAAGAAATTAGGGTGGAACCTACATACCTGGGTTATGAATCTTGTCCAACAGTTTAACCGATCTTGCGGAGACAACACCACCAAGGCTTAGCACAAAGTTTTGTGGGAAACTCCGCATAGTGAAAAATGGGTATTCCTGTATAGGGGGAGGGTTACTCTATTAAAAACAAGGTTTACTTTCCTTGTCCTCTACATGATATCCATTCATGGACACAAGTACAAGAGACTAGGCCTTGTAGTTTGTGTCCTTGAAAACAATTTTCCCAAAAAGGTGTTTTGTTTCATCTTATCTAAAGATGATTAAAAATAAATATTTAACATAATTTTATAAAATTTCATGTACTATTAAGTGAACACTTTCAGAAATGTGTTCCTATATGAAAATAATAAACTTAATAATTTCTTATCTAAAGATGATTAAAAGAAATATTTAACAGAATTTTAGACAATTTCATGAACCATTAGGTAAACACTTCCAGAAATTAGTGCCTCTATGAAAATAATAAACTTAATCATTTAAGCAAATAGCACAGGGATATATCATATGGACATGTTTTTCTTGTTACATTTTGTCTGATTATGTACAGTTATCTCTCCCAAGTCTCTTGTGGACAATGAATAAAAGGGGGGTGTACTTGAAAGCAAAATTGTAGAGGTCACAAATCATTTTTTTAAACTCTTGTGTTGCTGAGAGCTTTGTGTGTGTGATTAGTTTGAGTTTATGAAAGTGGGGCTTTGTCTTGGTGCTATCTGCACATGGGTCTTACCTAGTGTGTGCTCCAACTCATTGGTAAACAATTCTCGTAGACGGTTAAACGATTAACAAAATAACCTTAAGACTTACCAGTAAATCTATGCTTTGCTGTATCATTGATGCCTTGGAGTATAGAGGATTTTGCTGTACATTAGAACTGAGCTGCACAATTCTGGCACTGTTCATCACTTGAGGGAAGATGATCAAGTCAGTGTTAATGTGACACAAGAAAACTGCCTTACTAACTATTAAAAAAAAATTATGAATTATGTTTGTGCATTCGTATTCAAGGTGTGTAAAATGAATCATAGGGTCATCCTTATGAGGCTGTCAAACAAGTTTCCTATACTCCTAGCCACAAACAACCCCCAAAAAATCACCCATCAACAACAGCATCCAATGTTGCTTCTTTTGTATTTTACAGTAAAACTAATTAGAACAGTTCATAGTCAAGGTTGATTCTATGGTACACCAGAACAACACAATCTTACCTTTTGGAGGCGTATTGATTTCGGAATCTGATAATCGTCTACTGACATCTGCTGGGACTACACGGATGGGTGATGTGGAGTGCCTCTGGTTTGGCTGCTGATGAACAGGGGGTGAGACGGGTGGCGAGGTGGGTGCTGAGAATGAGGCCTCTGGTGTTGTATGTGCCGCAGACACCAAAGCATCCCGAATGGGGTCGTCTGGCGACTGGTCGTGGAGTTGTGATTGTGGAGTAAGAGTGTTGGAGGAGGACAGGGTGAAATCTTCAGGGAATGAGGAACTGCAAGGGAAATTGAAGAGGGATTGGTTGTGTTGCTCGTCACTTTGTTCAATGTAAGGCGGGGCCGAAGGCGGGGGGCTGCGAGAGTAACACAGGGATGACTGGCGGGAGAAGATCCCAGACTTGGGGGAGATGGTAGAGGGGGAAGTGGACGGAGAGGGCCCGGGGCTTGATAGCTGCCTACTCAAGGGGGAGTGAGCCCGTCTCTCCAGTTTGGTTTGGGAGAATGGTGCATGTTGGTGGTGTAGGCTCACGGTGTGCCGCCTCATGCTACGTGAAATAAGTTTAGAGAGAGAAAAATAACGTAAATAAAATGTATGAGATGGAGTAGCAGGCATTCAAAAAAAATTGGTGATGGGCTTGACACGGAATTACAGAGAGGCACTGTCCTATATATTAAACAAATTTTGCTTAAAACCAAGCTACCCAATCATCTCAAATAGAGCTTTTAGCTTTAACTTTTCATTTAATTCTATTACTGATTTTGCTGTAAACATCTTTATGTCTATGGGCTGAACTTATTTTGCGATAAAATAAGTTAAGTAAGATACTTATAAACAAACAACTTATATGTATAAAATAATTATTTATTATTTTATAAAGAATGTTTTTACTTTTTTTGGACATGGTCAAGACTTATAAATACATTAAGGAGGTTACAGTGACCCAGTGACAGTCACTTCTAATATAATACTTTAGAAAGGTTACTAGTGTTTGTGGGTGAACATTTAAAACACAAGCTTAACGGGCATACTTCGTGTCTGGAGCTGTGCTATATCCCAAATTATGTGTTGTACCACAATACGACACTACTGGAATATGGAAGTGCCATTCATGTTTATTTGTCTTGGTTTTTTTAAAGTGTAGTTAAGTGTTGTTTTTTCTGTTCGAAGCTGAGCTGTTGTTCAAAATCTAAGCTTGTAATTTACGGCAGAACATTTCAAATGATCAGCTGTTAGTGCATTCAATATTGATAACACAGCAAAACAAAAGGGAATAGTCAAAAGCTAATTTTTTAATTTCAGGTTAAAAAATATTCAAATGACGATAAGCAAATTGTCTTTTTTAATTCTTTTTTTTGTGTGGACCATCTCTAACATAACTGAAGATAATGTGAACAGTGAACAGATGTTCATGTTTGTGTGAACAATTCTAGATGAACGCCATGCCGTGCGTTGTGATTTTAATTCTTTCTGATGACAGCACTGAATGTAAAGCAAGGGTTTGGATATGCCTGAATTTTGACTCCATCAAAGTGGCTGCTTAGTTTAAATCATCATCCTGCGGGGAGTTAGTCTTATCGTAAAACAGGATTGCTTACCATTAAAACGAAATAAAAAATTATTTCACATTAATACCGGTAGGCTACTTAGATACATTTAGATTTTTAGAAAAACTTTTCTATAAGAACTTCTGTATTAGGTCTCATGAGGATGTATATTATTTTAGTCACAACTTCTAGAAAGGGTGGGTAAAAACAACAAAATCACAATATATTATACTTTTAAGTACATATAAAATATCTTTTTGAAAAGCTTTTATGAAATTCTTGATAAGCACAAGTCACACATAATGGAGCAACTAGAGTAGGGACACTGGCCAATAAATATGACATTTTGTTAAAAAGAAACTTCAAAGATTTCAATACTTTTATGGCAGTTCAATTTACCATACAATATATTTGATACAACGATGAGTGTCATACATGCCAACCTGTGGGATAAAAAAAACTGTATGCAAAGTAAAAAAAAAAAAAAAAAAAAAAAAAAAAAAAAAAAAAAAAAAAAAAAAAAAAAAAAAAAAAAATTAAAAAAAAAAAAAAAAAAAAAAAAAAAAAACAGGATAAAAACTGTACATTAAAAAATGAAAAGTTGGAAAAAGTATAATTTATAAACTCATTTAAACATCTTTACCTCATTCATAATTATTATAAGTGGATATATTTGCATCTTTTAAATGAAAATAGCTTGTTGTAAATCTGATTTTTTTCAGATTTTTTTTTTTTAACACTGGTTAATAGCAATTTTATTAAAAATGGACAGATGCATTTGATAGCAATTTAGATGTAATTATTTTTCTAGCTGTAGTAATACAGATTCTTGGATTTAAAGTATGAAGTAAAATAAAGTTCATCTTTAACATTATTTTTACCATACCGGAGGGATTAACCATGCCTTTGTAATAAATAGGAATAATGTCTAATGCTAATTCATTGACTGATAGTCAAATGAAATAAATTTCATTAATATATATATATATAAATTAAAATAACACTTACTAGCACTGCAGTTGTTGTTAAGAATTACACCAACCGATTTGTAATTATAGTTTACTACTCAAAGTAGTCACTCCAATACTAGTCTTAGCTACTTATATCAATGGATTCACAGTGTTTCTAAATTTAGATGGCCTACTGATCCTCAATTTGTTCATTTTGAGCGGACCTACAGGATTTAAGTTTCTTGTTGTTCAACGTTCAATTTATTGCACCACCAGTGTGCAAGTTGAATCTTGAGAAAAACATTTATTTTTTAAATCCAGGGAAAAACTGTACAAATGCCCGTACAGCCTTACAACTTGGTAAACGTTTAAAAACTGTACACAGTACAGGTAACCCGTACAGGTTGGCATGCATGTAGTGTGTCATTTTACAGGAAATAATTATGTATTGGTGTTCTACACATAAAACCAACATTACTGATGGTATTGGAAAAGAGAAGTTGGAGAAGTGAGATGTACATTGACTTTTGTAAATTTGGTACCGTTAAAAAAAAAGAACAGAAATAAAGTGAAGTTGGAGATATAAGGCTGATAAGGCTGAGAATGCTGGTAGCACTGCAATGTTAATAAAGTGGGACTACATGGTTTAATGTTAGTGGTAAGAGCAGAATGTGGCTGAATGCCTGAAATGTCTTGATTTTAGCTGTCATTAACTATATTTGTGTTATATTGAGGTACATATCTCTCTGGACCATCTTAAAGTTCTTACAAAATAAATAATGGTAAGATATGAAAAATCAAAATTAGTCTGTGCCTAATCAAAGTAAATTTTTATGATAATTGACAGTTCTGTTATACAGTTACACTTTGTTTAATGCAACCCCACAAATGGTAGGTCCTTTCTTTCCATGAGAATGGAATTAATGAATATAACTCATTACTAATGGATTTAAGCCAGCATACAGTTGGTCAGTCAGAAGACAATGGGTTAGACGTAGTTTGAGTATGCTACTGATTTTAGAGAAATCAATACAACTATGCCATTGAAAAATGGAGTTTAGTCTGAAAATTACTTGTTAGTAATTAATACATTTAAAAAAAAATGGATTTTACTTTGTAGTTGAGTGTTACATTTGAGGGAAGTTATTCTTTACTCTACAGTTGAATGTTACATTTGACTTTGAGGGAATTTTTTCTATATTTGAATGTTAATTTCTTAAGGAAGTCGTTATTCTATATGAGAGTTACATTTTAGGGAAGTTATTCTTTAGTTTAATGTTAACTTTGAGGGAAGTTGGTCTATAGTTTAAATGTTAAATTTGAGGGAATTTTCTTAGCAGTTTCATGTTTAATAAAAAGGAAATTACCTTGCCGGTGAATGTTCAACATAAAAGCAATGTAACCTAGAGGACTGCTAGATATGTTGTTGAAGATGTTTTCTAAACTGTTGCTGTTTTTTTGTGGATTGTTTAACTGGTTACTCACTAATTGAGACCGTAAATGTTACAGAAGTTTGGATCAAGAACAACCATTATAAATGACATTCAAACACAAAACTGATTTTCCCAATCATATGTACAACAACGGTTACGACAGAATAAAACTTACAGAGTGATTTTATCAAAGCTAGCAGTACACACGAGTGAAGTAAATAGTTATTTTGAGTTGGACTTAAGTTAGCTTTCATCAAATGGAGAAAATTGTACAAGGACAGTAGTTCAAAACCAATTTTTCAACATTTAATATATAAAACTGAAGCTTTAGTAACAGAATATCATAAAATATGGATAAAGTGTAAGATGCTGTTGCTTTGAATTATCCAGGTGCATCTACAAAAAGAAAATAAGTTAATGAATAGTGATTCAAAAATACCGAGCAGCAGAACAATCAAGACCTACAGTACCCATATGATGTAACAACGTTTAGGGTTTTTACAATTGTGGACCCCCATGGATACTTCGTGAATGAGTTTTTTCATAACAGGGTTGCATTGCAAACTAGAAAATTCCAAAAACAGTGAGCTTGTAAGTAATTTCTAATGCTTATTGTTATTTTTGAGTGTATCATAAACATGTAACAGTTTAAAATAATAATGATTAATCTCTCAAACTCAAAATCATTAGTGGCATAAGAGCCTTCATTGCTTTTTTTTATATTTTAGTGTTATGCAAAGTTAGTGTCTAGACTGTTATGTACTTCGATACGCTGAATAAATATCAATCAATGCGTATAAATGAAACAGTACAGACAGGTCTCATTTGACAACAGGTTTATGTTCCTGAAAATACATGCATAGAGCAAACAAAGTTATAAGATGACCGCAATTTGAAATGTTGTGAATCAGTCTATGTTTCCATATAAACATATTTTTTAAAACAATTTATATTCAAATGCTCTGATATGAGCTTCTATCTGATCACGTACAAGTGTCAACACCATTAAAGATACTAAAATATGTAGATGTTATAACAAACAATGAAAAATAAAAACCGATGCTAATCTTCTTCTCCCCTTTTTTTTTTCCAACCGCATTGCTTCTAGTGTCTTACGTAACATTGAACCCTCAAAGAGTCGTTTTCTGTGCAGATTCCTTTGTCATGGAAAAAGTGTTAATTATTTTTTCCACAGAGTTGCTTCTAGCGTCTCACATTACATTGAACAACCAAAGTGTCCTTCTCTGTGCAGATTCCCTCGTTATGGAAAAAGTGCTGAATTATTTAAGTTCCTGTTTGCATGTGATTCACTGACCTCCAGCCTGCTGCCAATAACTTGCAGCTAAGTTACTACCCATATAAACATCAACCTTTTAACACATGACTCTCAATTGTTTTACAAGAAATGAGAACATAAAGGTCTCAACACTAACATGATAAGACATATGCTGAAAAAAATATTCCTTCCTTCTTTAAAAGGGAAGGACCATTGACCTCAATGCTTCTCCACTATGTCCATATCTTCTCAGACCCACACAGCGTACAAGCTGGCCGGGTGACACATCTGGCATGCACAGAAAAGACACCCAAGGAAGGTAATTTATTATTCACCTTTCTTCACCCATGATTATTAATTAACCCTGTCCCCAAACTTCCTCTTGGTCTGGCTCAATTGTTGTCACCTGTGCTGGCTTAGAGGATTTACCCCGTAATAGATTGTTTGTAATGGAGGTGTGATGGTTTCTGATTCTTAAAATAAACTTAATAGTCATGACTCACTCTTTTACTGGTGAAACGGACGACGACATGTTCACTGCTGGTGAAAGCTGACCAACATGATGCCTGGTCAGTGCTACTGCTGTGCCAATACCCCTGACAACGATCCCAGATTCACCTTCAAGGTCAAAGTTCTGAAAATAACTGCAAGAAAGTAAGCTAAGAATTAACTTGTGAGCAATTTTCAATAGGTCAATGATGTTTCAAGCATCATCTGAAGATGCCGTAATAGGTATATAAAGCAATATTAACCTAATTACATTTTATAATTTAGCTCACCCCTCTTCAAACTTTGGCATCTGAGTATGCACGCTTTAAAAAAAAAAAATTTCATATTCGGATATACCCCAGTTCTTAAAGTGATATTTTAATATCCTCCTTTTCTAACCATGATATTTTAATACCCTGCTTTTCCAGCCATGATATTTTAATATACTACATAATTTGTAAATCTAATGTTATTTATCTAAATTTGATATTTTACTTGAATTCTTTCTATAAAGTTTTGTTTTGTTGTCTTTACAAAAAGTCATGTGACTGTTCTGCTCATGCAGCAATGACATGTGACTGTTCTGCTCATGCAGCCATGACATGTGACTGTTCTGCTCATGCAGCCATGACATGTGACTGTTTTGCTCATGCAGCCATGACATCTTCATTTGAGGCTTTTTAAAATAAAAGTTGTGGGGAGCGTTAAATAATTTGTCCCACATCTAAAGTTCAGTTTCCGGCTCCTCATACCTTCTGATTGTGGAAGTGTCAGGGTTTCTAGCTGAATATTTCAGAAGCCAAACAGTTGGGTCCATTTATAGACTTAATGACGAGGGCCTTTAGAGAATTAACAGTACGTGGCCTTTAAAAAAAAATTCAATTTATGATATTAACGGGTTAGGCATTTATAACTTTACCCCAGTGCGGGCCATTTAAAAACCAATCTAAGGATGTCTGATGGTGTGTTAAAAATTTTATGATATTTAAGAGGTGTTTACCCCAGGACAGCATTGCCTCCCAACTCCATGACCTTGACTCCCAATTTACGCTGTAGTGTTCCTGTAACAGACATTCAATAAAGTTGTTCACCATGACTAATGAGGAATGGATCACTGTGTATGCAATTAAATAAAAAATTGAATATTGTTAAAAAATAGGCATTTCTAGTTTTTAAAAAACCCACTGGTAATGAAAAGCTTTTCTATAGAAATTTAAAATAAAAACTATATTGTAAGTGCTCAAACAGTTCCCTTTTACACCTTGTGGGGGAGACAAAGTAGGCTCATATGTATTGACGCTTGTAGGGGGGGGGGGGGGGGGGGGGGGGGTAATGTAAAATGGTTGTGATGAGAGCGGAGGGTCAGTAATATTGGAAATTAATTATTATACAATAAGCTTTGCTGTTTATCTGGAAGTTGGGTAAAATGTACAAGTGTTTCTTCAGGCTGTTGTTATTAGATTGCCGGTTGGAGATTTTTTCCAAATACCACACTTAATTATAATAGTTCATCTCCTTTGATTTCATTGCTCTTCTGTCATAAATTTGAAAAGTTAAAATAAAAATTGCACTCCTTCAGTGTCCCACGTAAAGTAAGGAACCAAAAATAACATAATAATCGATGTTGATTTACTGCTGAGTAGAAAGCACTATTTTATGTCAGTGTAGCGAGACATGTATGTAATTATAGGCGGTGAGGAACTACTTGGACGGCCATATTGTAATGGATGAAAAAGCAGTGAGGAAGATTTTTATCTCATGACTAAAGGATACAATGTACGAGTGACTTCACAAGTTATTTTTTTAAAGAGGAATGGATTATTATGTTCTGTATTCACTTATCATTCCAACAGTAAATGTTATTATCCTGTGTAGTTTTTATGTGAAGATTTGGACTTTGTGTTGGTACAAGGGCATGTGAGAAATAATTAGTGGTTATTTGATATCCACTAAGATATCCCCTCAGGTCATGACCATTCTCACAAGTTACAATAGAAACAGAAGGCATTACAATGATATCAGAATAGAGAAAGGTTACATCTGTGTCCGACACAACAAAATAAATCATTCGCCCTTCATGATCTTGAGAGTGTGTTTGTGACTTGTTAGTGATTTTGGTAACATAATGTTTCTGTATAAAAATAATCTATATAATAATTAATTCTTTTTTAAACCTGGTGAAAGGATGACTGAGACACACTCTGAAACTGTGCATTTTTAAAGACATTGAACCTTGAAACAAACAAACCTGATAATTTAGAAAACAGTCTCTGCCTGGCTTCATTTGATGCACGAGGTGTGCGAATTTTTTCTATCCATTGATACTCTGGGTCATCATTAACAACTAGCTCTTCCACAAAACCCAAAATGCCCTGTATGCGCCAACCAGATGGGACCTCACAAGCTGCAGATAGAAACTGCTTTGTTGAAAAGAATTTTTTTTTTGAGCTTGATGGATAAGTTACGATTCTTTATTGGTCCAAATAGATGGAAATGTTTTTAAAATACATTGCAAATATTCATTTTCAGCACATTATAAATACCTATTTTTAACCAAGACATCCTTTTACAATAATAACAATTTAATCATAGGACATCTGAAATATTTCTGTAGCGTATAATCAGCAATAAATGAACTTCTTTACTGACAATAATGACTTAATTAGTGATCATTTAGATTTGATAATTGCTGGGGGAGCACGCTGGTACAGACTAGGGAAAAAAAAGAATTCCCATATCTTTCGGTCCTAACTTAAAGAGAAAGAATTTGCCCTGTTAGATCTGATCTTATGGATCTGTGATAAAGTGGGTGGGATGTATCATCCAAATTTTTTTGTATATAGTTTTTAGAACAGCATTTTTCTTCAAATCGTTCCTCAAGTGAAAGATGTTTAGTTTGTGTGATGTTACAAGCTTTCTTGACTAGAAGAAAATTTTAAATATGTCTTCAGATATTTTGTTAAAAAATTTAAAAAAAAACAAATTGAGTGAGTTTAAATGTGTTTTAATCATTTTACCTGTTCTAATTATAAAAAGTGTTGGACTGCGATAAAGCTTTAAAAAAGATTAATTAGACACGAACAGTTTGTGAAAATATAACAATATATGTTAAGCTTTAATAATAATTTACATAACACATAAGTGGATGTTTCAGCGCATGCCTTCCTCAGTACAACAACAAAACATAAATTAAATTTACATAATATATATATACATATATCCTACCTAAAATATGTCTCCTTATGTATTATGTAAAATTATTATTAACCCTCTTGGGAATTAAGGGCTCATCTATCGGCCCAAGGTGGACTAGCGAGAAAGACAAAAGTCCGAACCATCGGCCCAATAGATCTAGCCTTATGATAGGCTGGCTTGGCCAGCGAATCAAATTTATTCTTACGAATTCCTGCACATCCCGTGATTGTAATGGCGGCGTTCGTCGATGGTGAACTAAATTTTTATTTTTGCAGGAATTTTTGTGTGTGTGTGTGTATAGTTATATTGTGAAATTCAAACATGTCTGACAGCGACTGATCAAATTGTGCATAGTGATTCTGATTTCTTGCTGTCTAGCAGTGAATCTGACACTGATGAAAACAACCAGGAAACTAATGAAGGCAATCAAAATGATTACGTTACGAATCCTTGGTTTAGGATTAGGGGTTCTGAATTGGATAGAGGTGACCCCTATGAATTTTTAGAAAAAATAGAGACTATAAATATGCCTCATGGGATAAGCACCCATTTGAGTAGTTTATACTAATTTTTACAAAAAAATCATAAAAATGTTTGTGAGAGGAATAATAATAACTAATAAGTATGCAGACAACTTTCTCAGTAACACCAAGCTCAAATAAACCATAATTGGGTGCACAATGGTGAAAAGGACTGCTCTGTCTGTATCAACCGAAAAGTACCCGGGGGGGGGGGGCAGGAAAAGGAGTAGAAATATGGGCCAGGGGTGTCTGAAGGGCCTACATGAGCCTTATTTCCCAAAATGCATTATTAGGATCTATTCATGCTTCATCCATAAAAAAATTCACACAATTAACACAGGTAAGTCATGTTTATTCTCAGCTTAACAAAAAAAATTCACACATAAATTATGCAAATCAGGATAGCTCATTTGCATAAATGTTGAGATTTCAGTTTGATTTATAAATATTGTATTAGCTTGTTTAATTTTCTACAAGAATGTATATAGTTTTATACATATAATGTAAATAGTTTATTTTTTTATTAATTTTTTTGCAATGCGAGTGCACAGTTTGTAAAAAGTGCTCCGTCTTTTCGGCACAGACACCCCGAAAAGGCTCCGTCCCGAAAGGGTTAAAGCTTAACATATATTGTTATATTGACACAAATTGTTTGTGTCTAAAATTAATCTACTTGTTCTAAAGGAATGATCTATACAAAAGGTCTTACAGCAAAAGAACTGGATTCCACAAGAGGACTGTCTGAATTTGTTGAAGTCACTGAATAATTCCACACGGACCTGTATGTTTAACTCTCCCCTGAGACCTAATCGTGGAATATAACATAAAAATATTGGCAATTTATGCAGCAATATTGTTTTGTTGAGGGTACTCCCTGAAGTATTTTTTGCATTCTTCTATATAAAATTTGTATCAACGTAACATTCAATTTAAAAAATGTTACATTGTTTCTAACAGTTCAGGTTATCATTCTTCTCAGTACACTGTGATTACCATGCATTGTGTCATAGATTGGAAACCATCCGCTGATGATGTTGGAGTTATCCCTGGATAACAATGGATTCAGGTCAATATAAACTTTGCCGATCGTATCGTGGGCACTGTACGTGTCGTAATCCAAAACTCTGATCAAAATTAGAAGAAAAAAACACTAATTATTATTAAAGCTTCTTTATAGCTAGTTTTTTTTTTTTTTTTTTTTTACAAATGTTTACCTTTACTGAAACGCTTCATCCATGTACAGAAACAAGCCAAACAAATCACTTGAAGAAATAACAAGTTAAATTATAGCTAGTTTTTTTTTTTTTTTTTTACAAATGTTTACCTTTACTGAAACGCTTCATCCATGTACAGAAACAAGCCAAACAAATCACTTGAAGAAATAACAAGTTAAATTGTTAAATAGAGTTGCATCATCATTAAAAAAATTGCTGATTTTGTGTGTTAGTGATAGTTCCTCTGTCAAAAGTTGATCATAACCATTTTAAACATTGACTTGCTTGTTGGGGGGGGGGGGGCTCTGAAGAATCTGTCTTTGGGTGAGCAGATTACTGATCTGGTGTTGTGTACATTGATGTAAAAACAAATTGCCTCAAGTTATTGCAGCCACTAGACCTTTTTTTTTGTTTTTTTTTAGTGATTTTCAGATGGATCTTAACTTTCAAGGAGATCAAGAACAAATCCTAATGTTATGGTTATACTAAAAATAATTTATGTAATAATTAATTATTTTTTAAACCCGGTGAAAGTGAATTGCAAAAATTAAATTATTTTTCAAGCTAGATGCTCATTCTCTGCAGTGTCTAAATTCCATAACTGGTGCTACCTCAAATCCAGTGGCTCATCTTGTAAGACTTCATCATCAACCTAAGAATGTAAGAACAATAAGTATTGAGTCAATAAGTCTATTTTGAATTTTTCTTACCTGATATATATTTTGAGCTTTCCTTTTGTTAAGAGACTAAAATAAAGTTCCAATGTCATCAGATCTATGCGATGGCTAATTTTGGCCTACAGCCTACAACAGGACATCATGACTTGAATTGAAAAACTTTATGTTGCAAAGATATTGATGGTACTGCAGTGTTAGTATTTACTGTAACAATACCTCTCCCACCCTGTGCTCACAATTACACTACATATCAAAATCTGTCCAATGACCCACTTCTCTGAGCATTAATAGTTCCTTCTTAATTTCTCTATACTTATTTTTTTATTCCATGGAATTTTTATTTCAACACTCTGCTTGGACAGCCCTTATTAAAATATTAGTTATTGATATGTTTATCAATGTATAGAAAAATGTCCTTTATAAATTAAAATGTCCTTTTTAAATTATCTACCCGGTTCTTATTTTAAATAATTAGCAGGACTACATGTTAAGTCACAGAGAGCATAGACTAATACAAATATTTGCTTCAAATGGATTTTTTTTTTACCAAAGTCTTTATTTCAAGACACATTTTTCTTCAGCCATAAGATTTTAAGTTAGATTTAGTTATATTGTTTATTAGATAAAAATCTAATTATCAAACACTAATTTTGTGCAATTGGGAGTCTAATTTATTTCACAGCATTTGTTTCCTCATCAAATGTACACATTTTTATTCTTAAACAAACGTATCTTTTAAAAGCATATAGTAGGCCTAAAATTTCTTACCTCAAATTTGAACCATTCCGAATTCCACTGTGGGTTTAAGGACTTTTTGCAAACATCAGTCTTAAATATTTCTGTACCAAAACGAATCTTGAAACAAATAAAAATATGAACTATCATAATTTTAATAAACTAAATTCAATGTTTGACAAATTAGAAACAAAAGATGAAAATGAAAACATTGCGGTAAAGAAATTCATTTCCATAGACAAAAATATATTCCTATAAAAGTTGGGATTACAATAAATCTTAGATTAAAGTGTGTACATTGTGTGGCTGGCAATCATCCATATATTTTAAAAAATTTTATTGTACCTCAACAAAGGCATCTGTGAGTTCACTTGCTCTGTCCATAACGGGTAAGTCACGCGCACTGAGAATGCGAACTTTAACTCTTCCAGGCATCTTTAACAAATGGAGGATATTTTAATGAAACTGCAATGGTTGATCCAGAAAAAAAGTGTTGTACGGTGAAGTCACAAGGATGGATTGCCTATAGACAGTAGAACAATAGTATAAAGTAATTACTTGACTTTTTATCCACTTATGTACCGGACTGCACAGAATCTTTTGTAAATTAAACTTTTTTTATATTAACGGTCACTCTGCAATCACTCTCACAATCATTGATACCTCTACTAACAATTAGAGATGTGATCACATTGGGGAATACTTGATTTATCAGAAGTGTTCAGGTGTAATTGAACCCATTCTACTCTGTTTCCAAAGAAAAAGTAACCCACACCAGCTACATTGCATAGAGTAACCTGTTTCAAAACAGGAAAAAGGATTTAACTGGAATGAAGCTTCTAAGACTTAATGACTGTTTTGAGAGCTCCAAGAAAAAGGGAACAAATAATATAGGAAATGAGTAAAACAAAGTAGGGTTAAACCTGAAAAAAGGAACTCAACAAAACGAACGTTTTGGCAGGAAGCCTTCGTCAGCAAACAAACAGAAAAAAAACAGAATAAAAAATAGCACTTAAATGAGAAGTAGTATCCAAGAGGACAGTAATTGTGTCCAATTATTTCTTATGGCTGAACCGCGACTTTGTTTTACTCATTTCCTATTGTACTAACCTGATTGCAGCCTCTCCCATTATTAACAAAAAATATACAAGTAAAATTTTCTTGTTTTGTATTGATCATATAACATATAAGTGTGGGATAACAAATTGTACCCAAAATTTAAAAAAAACAACAACAAAAAGTTTTCAAAAACAGCCAAAAAACTATACAACACTGACAACGACCACAACAGCATGAAAAACTGTACAGAAAAAAAAAAGAAAAGTGGAATAAAAAATATAGCCTGATTTATAACTTTTAAATTTAATTATCAATGATGTTTTAATTTTGAATGAATCATAATAATTTAAATAAAAGAATCTTTGAAGGCAAACTTTGCTTTTCCGTTCACCTTGGTCTTAGTCTTGACGCATAATTTCTTTATTAAATTAGTTTGAAACTGATGATGGAAAATGTAAAGTGTCATAGTTAATTTTACAAAAAAAAAGTGGTTATCGGTTTGTATTTCTTTAGACTGTGATTGAGAATGATCTTTCACTGTCTGCATTGCTTGATTTGAGATGAGGCTGAGGTATTGATAAATCAATGCATGATATTCGGCGGTCTGCCGGGTCTGGGCAGCCAATATAATCACTAGTACTAGACTTACTAACTTATACTACTAGTAACTTAAACTAAACTTAAATTTTACCGACTTCAGTGACTTCACTTCTTATACTAATAAACTAATTAGCGTATTACTATTCGCCTATATTTTACTATTTTAAGATAATTTTAATTGGCGGCATAACTCTAATGATATAAGTATAAGCTTTATTAATATATAACAACTTTGAATTTTTTGGTGAAGTACCTACCATAGGAATATAGGTAAGCCGGAATATGTAATAAAGAAAAATGTACCTTAGGCCTTAGGGTTTTAAAACTATATACGATGAAATTTACTAATTCTATTGAAAATAATATATGATCCAATAGTATTGTTTACACCGGCTACGTACAGCAGACAACGAAGAGCTACACTTTTTTTTACGAAGTGGATGCGTACACCGCGGCGGTGTACCTAGCGAAACCATCGGCTTTGGCCTGCGTAAACATAATTCACCATTCTTGTTACAAATTAAGGAAACGATGTGGCTATAGGTACCCGAGTACCAATAGCTGTATATGGCTATTCGGACCCGGCTGGTCACGTGAAGTTGGTTATGACGGATACTTCCTGCTGGTTGAGCCTGGTTGCCATCTTAGTCGCCATTATTATCAATCGAGAGATGTACCATATTTTCAAGTCTTTCATGTACCGGTAGCTCTGAAGAAAAATGAAAATGTGACGTACAGCAGAAAGACAGTAAGAATACTTTAATGTCTATAATTTATGGTAATTTTAAGTTCTATTTTAAATATAGTTCTATAATCATTAACAGATTAACAGGACATCACTCAAGCAAAGTTGTTTTACTTTTCTTTTGTTTGGCGGCAAATCGGCCACAGTACTGTCTTATCTGTAATTGTAATTTGATATTAGTCTAACTTATTGAATTTCTAACAAACCATACTGGGTAAAAGTGGAGTTCAGGTGCGAATATTATTTCTTAACGCTTTTCGTATTTTATCATGTAAACTTACGTGTATTCTTTGTTAATTAAATACAGGCAGTTGTAGGTACTTTGATTAGAAAATTAAAACTTTGTGTAAAAATAAACCAATGGTATAGTTGAATAAAGCTAATTTGGTAAATTAAGAGAAAGTAGCCCCAGGCAATTTCAATGGCAATGGCCATCATCTTAGTTGCCTCGACCCACGCACTTTTACGTGTTCACGGGTCGAGGCAACCAAGATGGCGGCCATGGAAAAATAAAATAATTTACGATTGATAAAATTTGGAAGAAAAATTTTAAATGTATGAAAAAATTGTCTGAAATCGATCCCTATGCCTAATCTGAACCCTAAATCTATCCCTATGCCTAACCCTAAATCTATCCCTATGCCTAACCATAACCCTAAATCGATCCCTATGCCTAACCTGAACCCTAAATCTATGCCTAACCTGAACCCTAAATCTATCCCTATCCCTAACCCTAAATCTATCCCTATGCCTAACCCTAACCCTAAATCGATCCCTAAGCATAATCTGAACCCTAAAAACGAACCGTAAATCCACAAGTTGTCAAAACACGTGGAATTTGACACTTTCGCAAGAAAACGATAAAAAATTAACAAAAAACCATTAAAAAAAAAGGGCCCAAAATAATTCTAAACTGAAGAAATTATGAAAATCCAACTTACAGTTTCATGAAATATACTTTTACACACTTTATTTCAGCTTCCAAGGAAAATATAGCCACAAAATGAATAAATCTCCACAACCCACAGGCACCCTAAAGATATCAAATATGATGGAACAACCGAAATATGATAATGAGCCAATCAATGAAAATTTTACAATTATAATTAATCAAACAATAAAATTTTAATTCCGAAAATGCAACTCTTTTAACAAAAAATACGAAAAAAATAATGCATTCTCCAAATGTAAACAAAGGGCAATAAACACGCCTAAATCTTCTCGGGCCGGATTCTCTTAAATAGCCGCTAATTTTTTAAAGAATGATAACACCAAAATCATATTTTTAGCTGTTGTAGTTTTAAAGTAATGAATTTTTAAAGTACGATTGAATTTGTCCTTTTTTAACATGGACCGCATGAACCAAGTAAGTGAAGTTGAAAGTGATGACCCCAAATGAATATTTCATAAGCTAAGTTTTAGGCTATTTAAAAGGGGGCAGAATCACTAATCCAAAATGGCTTGTGCGACCTTTGCATAATGAGGTCAACGTTGAGAATTGTGAAAATGTTTCATGAGCTATCTCAATGACCTACTTTCAATATTTAGACCGAATTTTTTAATGCGAAGATGCCTTATATTGACATACGATTTTCCTCACTTAAAGTTGAGATAAAGAACAAATTAACTCAATGGGAATGTAGTTCAACATTTATCCTAATGTTAATGGGCAGAGTCAAACCTAAATTAATCATAGGCCAAAACGATTCCTTATTTATTCAAATTACATGCACATGAAAAATTAAAAACTCGGATCCTACTGCGCCGACGCCCATTTCCGAATCAAATTTACTAGGAGTAAGTACGCCAATACCGGACGTCACGGGCA